ACAATTACCTCCTTTTAACTTTGCTTTTGTATGATTGATTTGTTTCTAAGAGAGTCCTATTACATTTCTACAATGATTGTTTTGCCAAGTTTTGATAATAATTCTGTCATAGTTTCTCTTTATGTATTTTGTTGTTGTATATTTAAGTGTGTCAGAGTTTTGCATTGTTTTGTTTCCTTGGAAGATTTTTCCTTTGATTATTATATAGTGTCTCTCTTTTCTCTGTGAATGAGTTTTGCCTTATTTTACTCCACTTAACTTCTTTTAGTTTGCCTGCAAGACCTTCTTATATCCCTTCCTTTTCAACCTTCACAAATGTGTGTGTGTGTGTGTGTGTGTGTGTGTGTGTGCTGGTGTTTGTTCATGTATTTTCTTTAATCAGCTGGATAATTTTATTTATTTATTTATTTACTTAGTTATTATTATGAATATTTATGAGATACAAATTACCAGAAATTGCTTTTATATCCTGTGTCCCCACCCAGTTATCCCCTAATCACCCTCCCCCTACCCCTCCCACCCAATCCACTTTGCAACCCTGGGAATGCTACTGCCCTCTGTAAGACCACCGCAATATTGTGGCCTTTCTTTCCTTCCTTCCTTTCTCTCTTATTGCCCACATATGAGTGATTACATGTGGTATTTATCCATCTGTACTTTGCTTATTTCACTCAACATAAATTTCTCAAGGTTCATCCATGTTGTTGCAAACAGGAGTATTTTATTCTTTTTTATGGTAGAGTAGTATTCCATGGTATGTATATACCACACTTTCCTTATCCAATCATCCATCAATGGACATTTAGGTTGGTTCCATATCTGTTTCTCAAGGTTCATCCATGTTGTTGCAAACAGGAGTATTTTATTCTTTTTTATGGTAAAGTAGTATTCCATGGTATGTATATACCACACTTTCCTTATCCAATCATCCATCAATGGACATTTAAGTTGGTTCCATATCTTGGCTATACAGCTGGATAATTTTAATTTAATATTTTAGTCTGTAACTTTTCATAAGAGAATTTAACTTATTTACATTTATTATAATGACTGATATATTTGCAATTATTTGTATTCTCTTATTTTGTGTTGAGTATTTATGGGCTTATTGTATCTTTTCTTTGCTTTTCTTGCTTACTTTTGGATAGATTGATGTTTTCTATGTTCCCTTTTGTTCTACTGCTGGTTCAGAAACTACAAACTATACTTCTATTATTTTAGCAGTTACTCATAAATTCTAAGATAAGTACTTAACCATAATTTTTTTTCTAACATACTTTAATTTTCACAAGACTCTGGGATAGATATTATTATTTCCCTCATATAAATGAAAGCGAGGCTCAGAAAGGTAAAGCAACTTGCCCCAGATCATATAGTTAGTTAATGCCCTTGATGGATTTGAAATAAGATCTATATTATTTGAATGTCTGTAATTTTAAAAATCTGACACCATGATGCTTAAAAGTGATAAGGTCCAGTTAAACAAAACAATATTTTCATTGACCATCTTTTTTTCATAGTGTTATCAGGCAGTCCAGCTTCGCCATTGATTTGCTGTGCAACCTTCAGCAACATACATTTTTTCTCCAAGCTTCAATTGTCCCATCTGTAAAATGGCTTGATTATTCTTAATAAGTGGCTTGATTATTCCCAATGGCATTCCCAGATCATATTTTAATAGTGCTTAGAGACCTACTTGACAGTAGACATTTAACAATCATCCCAGATGATTTGCCTTTGTGATAAATGGTGAAACAATTAAAGTTTGTATATAGTTTCCCACAACAACACTAAATATCATGTAGATTTATCAGTTAATTATTCGCTATCTATATCCCAGTCTGAAACTTTGTACTGCAAAATGGGAACTCCCAGAATGACATTTATTTCCCATTAACCTAATGAGCTAATGAGGGGATTTTTTTGTTGTTGGGTTTTTTTTCCCCCTCCTATCTCCTCTAGCAATTCATTATGAAAGAGAGAATGACTTGGTCTGAGATTTTGTTGTGAATTTTGTTTACAATGCTCTCTCTGGAAAGGAGATGGTGCCAGCATTTTCAGGGGCTTTCTGGCAGTAAAAATTGCAGAATCTGAGCCATCTCTACTGCATGACCAGTGCCAACATCAGGGAATGTTCCTGATGCCAACTTGATCCACAGGAGAATTAGAGGAACTTTAGAATGTGTGCAGAACAAAAGCAGACATAAAATAAAGAAAGGTGCAAAGCATTCTGTTTGAGTGTAATCATGGTAAAAATCTGGGCTGTAGAATAAGTTCATCTGGATTTAGATAGCAGTTCCACAAGGCACTGCAGTGCAATGGTTAGGAACTTATGTTCTAATGCCAAGCTGCCTGGGTTCAAATCCCTGCATAACCTCTTAGCAATAGTCTGACTTTGGACAGATCACTCGTCCTCTCTTTATCAGTTTTATCAGCTGCACCTCCATTTCCCCATGACAATACATACTTAAGAGCCCTGGGTAACTTCTCTCACTTTGTGATCTGCCTCCACCCCGAGGTTTTGTACCCTCATGCCAAGAAGTGCATATACCAGATGGTTTCTCAGCTCTCTGTGTTTGCCCATGCAATGACTTCTACCCGGAATGCTCTTCCTGCACCTTTCCTAGCTAGGAGTAGCTAGTTCCTACTTCCCAGTCCCATCCCAACCTGAGCTGGATGATGCTCCTCTGAGTTCCTGTAACACTTTTTTTTTTTAAATTAAAGAGCAAAACATACCTCTCCCAAGGTGTGTTTTACTAAAACTACCTCTTTCCAGCCAGAAAGAGCTGGGTTCATATTCCAACTCTGTCACTTACTCTATGTGATTACTTGCAAATTACTTTACCCCTGAAGGCTTCCTTTTCATCATCTATAAAATGGGAATCATAATCCTACACACCTCATAGATTCATCATGATAACTAAATGTGTTGAATCCACAAAGTGTTTAAAATAGTATATGACACTTTAAAAAGCTCTCCATACTGTAATCTATTACTACTTTTATCAAGGCAATAATAATAATGTCTATTTTTAAGAGAATGTCACAGGAGTTAAATGCAATAACATGTGACAAAGAGCCTGGCACAATGCCCAGCCCTCAGCTCAGTTCAGCAGGTGAGATAGAGACATATGAAGGCACTTCAGCAAGTTCATGGAAAAATATAATTGAAAGATAATATGGACCTTTCCATTAACTTTTTGAAGTACCCTTGCGTGTGTATGTATATATAAAATATATGTGTATCTATAATATATGTAGTAGTATATTATATATATCACAGACAATCATTTTAAACTTACCAAAGAAATACATCTGAGAAAAAAGAAGCCATATTCTAAGAACCAACTCATTTTTCAAATAATTCAAAACCAGTGATGGAGAAATGATAATACAAAATCTAGAAGAACACATTCCAGGTCATCAGACAACACTCATAATCCTTTATATTTGTCAGGCACTTGACAGGGTACAAAGTGCCGTGCCATCTATTATCATGTCTGATCCTTGGCTTATCTCAACAGCGAGCACAGGGATTTTGTTTTAACCTTTAGAACACATTCCAGGTCATCAGACAACACTCATAATCCTTTATATTTGTCAGGCACTTGACAGGGTACAAAGTGCCGTGCCATCCATTATCATGTCTGATCCTTGGCTTATCTCAACAGCGAGCACAGGGATTTTGTTTTAACCTTTCTTTTTATAGACGAGGAAACTCAGATTCAGAGAGGTGGGGTGACTCTGCCAAGGTTCCCACTGCCACCTAAGGTCAAGCCAGGGCCACCTCACTCTCAGCCCCACATACTTTCTGAATATCTCAGGGCATTCTGAGCATCCAAGGAAGTGGTTAGTATTTGGCAAGGAGGCACATATACTTAGGTATGTAGAAAACAAACCTCAGTGTTGAGGTACCTGCACCCCATTTTCTTTAAACTCCCCACATGGTTGATGGTGCTATGTTCTTTCCTACGGTCTTCTGAAGACTCCAAGAAACAGGCTGTTAGTTTCTCTCAGGGACACTAACCTGCTGTTTTTTAAAATCAGCGTGGGTTGCCCAAGTGTCACATCAGGCCCCAATGTAATTCTGCACCTCCTCTGCTTTGTCTCACCTGTATCCTTGGCCACTGGGAGTTGTCAAAAAGGCTGAGGTCACCCTCCTGGTGCCCAGTCCAGTACATGACTTTGTCAGGAGCCACTGGATAGCTGTCGTCTGCAAATTCAGTATTCTAGGTGAAGGATTGTGGTCACCTCTGTATAAAGTCCCTCTGCAGAAAATGATCTCATCTTCCTGCCCTTAAAATGGCAAAGGAGACTGGCTCATGAGACAAAAAAGCTTGATTTAGATTATCAGAAGGAACACAGTTGCTATTTGCTGAGATGTAACAAACACGCAGAGAAACACACTATATCCCGCATGTACAGCCTGCAGTTTAACATACATGTAGAAAAGTACACCATATTACACATGTATAGCTCAGTCAATTTTCATAAACTCATCAAATACCACCCAGACCAATGACATTAGTAACCATCCAGAAGCCCCCTCATGTCCTGTCCAGTCACTGCCCATCCAGGGCTGCCGTGACTTCTTTCAGCACAGCCTGGCCAGCAGCAGAGGGACTCACCTGGCATGGAGGCTCTTACGAGGTGAGGTGAGGTTATATTGATGACTTGGGCACAAAAGATGGGGTGGAATGACTTCGGATCCATACCCACTATGATAACAGTAATAATAGCATCTCGTATATTTGGTGCATTTTCTCTGTGTCACACATTCTGCTATGTACATATTTAATTTTCAGAGCAACCCCGTGTGGTTGGTGCCAGTTCCATCTTGCAGGTGACAGAACTGAGGCTTGGTGATAAGGGTCTTGTCCAAGGTCATGCAGAGTGAGTGGGAGAGGCAGAATTTAAACCCGGGGAGGCTGGTTCCAGAGAATGTAGACCCTGGCCCCTGCTTTGCCATCTAAACTCATGAGCCTTCCTTTGGCTTCCAGATTGGCCATCGGGACTTTGATGTGGAGAAGCGTCTTCGGAGGGACCTCAGGAGGACTCACGCACTTTTGTCAGACGTGCAGCTCCTCCTGGGGAGCATGGAGGATGGCAAGACATCAGTCAGCAAGGAGGAGCTGGAGAAAGTGCACAGCCAGGTGGGCTCATGGGATCCCTTCATGATCTGGGCTGGGGAGGATGCTGTAGCCGGGAAGAATGGTTTTCCCCAGGTATGGGTGGGACCATGAAGCCAACCTCCAGCTTTCACAGACCTGCAGAGAGGTACGGGACATTGTCAGGTCTGAGAGGGTTAGTGGGAGTGGTAGGGAGGAGGAGGGGGTTATGAAGGACTGAGGAGTTCTGTTCCCTTCTTAAGAGCTGAAGCAGAATGTGTCTGTCTTAAGGGCTTGGGCAGATCAGGCCCCTGGCCAGAATGGCTGAGTACAGTGTGTGTGTGTGCATGTGTGTGTGTGTGTGTGTGTACATGTGCACACATGTGTGCTTGCTGACCACCAGGGCTGGGTATAAAATAGTAATAGTGCTAATAATGCAAAACCAACTCCTAACAGCAGCAATAATTATAGCAGACAATGGCCATTTGATGGCATGAGCACTATTAGAATGCTAATGACATTGATCAAGACATGATGTTGACCACTGGCTGCTACTATCTGGAGCTCCCACCATGTACTGGGCCCTCTCTTGTTGTTGCATGGCCTTCTCAGGAGAGCTGAGTGAAGTGAGGATCATCAACTCCATTTCATAAGCGAGATGATTGGGTGGTAAAGAGGTGCGACAACCCACTCAAAGCCACACAGCTAGAAAGTGACAGAGTCAGGATTTGAACCCTGGTCTTCAGTTTCCATGACCCCTGGCTGCCCCAGAGGAGGACTGGAGCAGCAGGTCTGGGGGTGGATGGGAGGTGAGGCCAAGGCAGGAGCTGGGGACGTTGGGAGACATGATACACATGGGCTGTGCCAGCTGCAGGCACATGGCCCAGGGTGGCTGGTGTTGAGAGGTGTGAGCTGATCCTGCAAGGTGGTGGGAGCCTTAGGGAGAGAGAACTCAGAGCCAAATGATGTAGCAGGGACTCAGGACTTGCTACAAGTCCCCATGGGGAGCTGAAAACACCCTGGCGGGGGGAGGCTCGGGTCAGAGGTCCCCTGGGAGTGCTATGCCTTGCACTCAGTGTTACCTTTAAGTCACACACCTCCCTTGGGTCAGCCATTCTTGCTGATCACCTCACCCTCTCGGAAGGCTGCCATCCCTTCCTCCTCCTTCACTGGTCTTATGTCATCAGGCTATCCCCAGAAACTCAGATAGGTAATCTGTACTTTTTAGACTGACTCCCCAACAAAACTGTAAGTTTCCCGAGGGCAGGAACTGTGTTTCAGTCAACTCTGATGATGCCCACCAAGTCCTTTGCACATAGTAAATGTATTTTTGTTGAATTCAATTTGGATTGTTCAACTCATCTTACAGATGAAGAAACTGAGGGTCAGAGAGTCCAAGGTCTCACAGCCAGTCAGAGGCAGAGCCAGGCCTGAAACCCACATATCCTGATGCTCTTCTCTCCTCCTTCTGGAGAAGTAGCTCATGATGGTCAGCAGGTCCCCAGGAAGACAGCAGGAGGCAGCAGAGCATAGCACCAGGGGTTAGAAACAGAGGTCCCAGAGCTTCCACTACTTCCAGTCTCTGGTGTCAGTTTCCATCTATAAAATGAAACACTTCAGGTAGAGCTTATTTGCTAAACTAAAATGCCTTTAAAAAAAAAAAAACCCTAAATTCAGACTTGATTCAGATTTGACCAGTTTTTCCATTGATGCGCTTTTCCTGTTGCAGGATCCAACCCAGGACATCACACTGCATTTTGTTGGCATGCGTGCCCAGTCTCCTCTGGTCTGGGACAGTTTCTCAGTCTCACCTTGTTTTTTATGACCTTGACAGTTTTAAGAAGTACTGGCCAGGTATCCCATAGAATGTCCCTCAATCTGGGTTTGTCTGTTTTTCTCATCATTAGACCAAGTTGATGGGCTTTTGGAAAGAACACCACAGAAGTGGAGTGCTGTGAAACCCGAAGACATTTAAGGGCCCTTCCATCTAGAAATTTCTGTGGTACTCTGCCATTTCCTTTATCAAGTCATTCTCTTCTAAAGTGACCAACCATCCTGGCTTGTCCAAGACTTTCCTGGTTTTAGCGCTGAAAGTCCTGGGTCCTGGGCAAGCCCTGAGTTCCAGGCAAACCAGAATGGTTGGTCATTCTATTCTCTTCATGGCTGTGTCAGAAAACCAGCATCACCCCCTCACTTAATCCTCCTGATACCTCTAGGCGAGGAGAGGTGATATTGTGCCCATTTTGCAGATGGGGAAATTTTGTCCAGAGGTGCCAAGCAGTGTGCCCAAGATAGCACAGCAGATAAGTGGCAGAGCTGGGATTCAAGTCCAGAGCTTGTGATTCTAAACACAGAAGCTGGTGGCTCTTTTCCCTCACATTGCATCTTCCTGCCTGTTTGGCCAACCAGGTGGGTGGGAGACCCTGAGCCTCTTGGCTTGCATCTGGTCGGCTCAGGAGTCTGAGCTCGCAGCCAGGGGTCAGGTACCTTCAGTTCATGAAATCCCCTTGATAAAGGGTCATGTGCCTGCCCATCCTCCATCAAAATGTTTCTAATACCACAGCATTAAAGCCTCCCCTCCCCTACAGGTGAATATTCTTGCAAAGAAACCATTGTCGGTGGTTTTGTTTCCTTTTTTTTTTTTTTTTTTTTTTTTTATTCATGAGAATTCTCCTCTGCAGGGTTAAAATGTATTTTCTTGGGAAATAGTGGTATTTAATGAAGGCGCCTTGAGCTGAATCAAAGAGCTTCATTCTTCTGAAAGTCCTTCTTCCCCGTCTCTGCATCCGGCTCCTATCAAAGGGAATCCACAGCCTTGGCTTTCCATTGCTGTTGTCATGGAAATTGTTATAAGGATGGGATGGCGTGGACCAGAGGTCAGGGTACAGTTGCTTTGGCTCCCAGCACACGTGTCCTGGATACCAGAGTTGGAGCTAATCAAGTAAAGCAGTGATGACACTGGGAGTTGCTGCATCTCCTCTCCGATGTGCAGTATTTTTCCTTTGCCTGAAGGCTCCGGGGACAGAGGCAGGGAGAGCAGACAGCAGGAGGAAGGGAGAGGGAGCCAGCCTTGCTGCTGGCTGCTTCTTAAGTGCTGGGTATGACGCTGAGCAATTCCATTCGTTCATTCATTTATTCATTCATTGGACATTTATGCAGTACCTACTATGTGTCAGGTGATATGCTGGAGACAAATACAACGGTTAGTAAGACAGGGATGGTACCCATCCTCGGGGAACTTACAACTGATGGAAAAGAAGACAAGCCAACAATAACACAAATAAATAGAATAATTCCACACCTTAATTTGGCTGAGAAAGGAAATAAACAAAGTCCTGGAATAGGGAATTGCAGTGGGTCTCTTTTAGCATAGGCGGTCAGCTCAACTACCCTGGGAGAAGGAGAAGCAGGCAGGGAACAGAACAGGTTTGATTGCAAGGCCTGGAAGGTTTGGATTTTATTCCAAGGGTGGTACAAAGCCATTGGGAGATTCTGAGCAGAGCGAGACAGAATATGATTAAGGTTTCAGAGGACTGCTCTTCTGTGTGGGGAATGGATTGTGGAGAGGATGGGGGGATTCCATTAGGAAGCTAATGCAACCTTCGAGGCCAGAGGGAGTGGTCATCTGGGTTGGGAGGTGTTGATAGAGATGAGGTGAGAAAGGACAAGCTTGGGGCTGATTCGGATTGATGAGACCTGTAGATAAGGTTGGGTTAAAAACAGTAAGCATGTCACCTCAGACAATCCTCGCCATGAACCTAGGAAGTGGATGTTCCTGTTTTTTCCTATTTTTGACCCATTTTACTAATGTGGAGATTGGCTCTGAGAGGTTGAATAATTTACCCAAAGGCACGCAGCAATACATGTCTGGAAGCTGTGAGTGATGATATTCTTGTATCCTTGGAACTTAGATTGCCTAATACATATGAGCCCTGTTAACACTTACCAAGCACCTACTAGGTACCAGTCTTTTCTTTGGTGTCTTGGGGATCCTCAAACTTGGCTGCACATCGGAGAGCTACACCATTAAAAATCACAGATTTCTGTATCCCAGCCCCCAGAATTTTTTTTTTAAATTTTTTTCCATTAAATCTGGTTGGATTAGGACCCAGAATCTACATTTTTAAACAATCATATCAGGGGATCCTGATTCTGGTCTTAGGACCAGGATTTGGGAAATATAGTCTTCATATATCCCTCAAAACATCCTTTCAGGTTCAGTGGTGATACACCCATTTTGCAGATGAGGAAACTAAAAGTGAGGTTATATTAGTATGACAGATCTTAGTTCCAACTATTTTTTTTTCAATTTTCTTTTTTTTTAATTTTTATTTTTTATTTAATATTATTTTTTAAAATTACATGATATTGTTGCAGAGCAATTGGGAGGGAGGGAGGGAGAGGGGAGGGGGAAGGAAGTGAGATGGAAGAAGGAGGAAGGAGAAAGGGCAGGATTGAGGCCTGTGACACTCCCCTTATTTCCACAGGGGAGACCAGGGGGCTTCCAGCGGTGGCTTGATCATTGCCAGGCTGGGTGCAGATGTCAGGGGGCAGTGGCAAAAGCCCTCACTCCCCACCACCCCAGCTCAGGAACCCGGGGCCTGTCTTGCTGCAGCTCGGTGGTCATCGCTGGGCTGGTTGTGCGTGTCGGGGGGACGTGGCCAAGGCCCGAGGCCCCCCTCCAACTATTTTAAGATGAATTAAATTTTGAATCAAGGAACTGGATCCAGCGCTTGCTAATTTTGTGATCTTCAGTGTGTGACGTGACATCCCCAAACCCTTTTCCTAACATGGAGTGTCATCATTGCTAGATGTCCCCAGTGCTTGTAGGGCCCAATGAAGTAAGGCCAGTTAGGGCTTCAGAAACTTGAATGGACTTTATGGTCTTTATGGCTCACTTACTCTGATGGATGATGGATAACCTAGAGAAAGGTTCATTCTCTAAAGGGCACAGATAAGAGAATGTGTTTGGGGCTGAGCCCATGGTGCACTCGGGAGAGTGCGGCGCTGGGAACGCAGCAGCGCTCCCGCCGCAGGTTCGGATC